CCCCAAAACCCCAAAACCCCAAAACCCCAAAACCCCAAAACCCCAAAACCCCTGCCTAAAATAAATTTATTGATAGTTATAATCAACATGAATACTTCTCAGGACAGCATTAATGAGCAATTTGATGACTACAGGCACGAAATTCAGAGCATCAAAAGCAGCGAGAAGGAAATCACAGAGGAATATAGGAAGAATGTTAAGAGAAGAAATCTTGACTGGGGAGCGAGACTTAAAAATTTGAATAAGGCACTTAGAGATAAACTTAAGGGTTTGAATGAAATGCTGGAGAAAGAGCTTGATAGGGTCTATGTCAAGAGCCTTAACCCGAAAAATGTGTATACTAAACAAGCTGATGTGAGTAAGCAGAAGATAGTAGCTGATAGGGAGCTTGAGAATGCTCAGAAGCAATATGAGCAGAGTTTGCATTATAAAATGAAACTAGAGAGGGAGAATAATCAAGCAGGTGATCCTAACGATCTAATTCAGCTCGAAGAACAACTTAAAGTTCTTAAAAATAAAAAGAAAGCTCTTACCAAAATTGTGACTGACCTAACTTGTGATGGCAATCTCATCGGAAAACAAATTGAAATCGCTAATCGCCAGCTCGAAGATCCTAATGAAGCTGATAATTTGTTATACAAACTCAAAGCCATTCGTAAAAAGAAAGATGCCATCAGAGCCAAACACCTCAAACACAAAGAAGTCATGAAGAAGATCACTCTCGGAGTCGAAGATGCCAAGCACAAACTTGAGCGTGAAACCAGGAAAGTTGACGAAGCTGAACGCAGAAACGCTGAGAGTGCTCCCAAGGCAACTCCGAACCAGTCTCTCATAGATGATGGGGCTGACTACAGCACCAACACTGAAGAAGCAGAGTACCACAAACACAGAAAGACTTTGATCGAACTCAAATAGAGCCACCAAAGACAAGAAGCTTGAACTCGACAAGCTCTTCATTGAACTGCATGAGCGTGACAAAGAAAACCGACTACTGAACCTCAAAGTCAAAGAGCTAGAACGGATGGTTCCGCAGAACAGGCTGAATCCGGTTTCGCGAGACAGGTCTTCCAACGTCATCCGCAGGCGCAAGAGAATGAAATAACTCATCAATCGCAGAGGCCAACAATAGCGTTATCGTTACCCGCAATGAGCGGAGGCTCAAGAGCATCAAAGCAAAGAAGCCAGCTGACACCAGAAGCATCGAGCGAGTCAAGAGGGTCGACAGCAACAAGAAGTTGGTGTCTGAGGCACCGAAGCAAGGAAGCTCAGGAGCTGACGAGAAGAGGAAGCAGTCTACTGAGGAAGTAGACAATGATTCCCCTAAGCATGTGAAAATTAAAGAAATCAAAGAAGATCAATTAAAAAGAAAAGAATCTTCAGATGCAGAATTTGAAATGGGTAAAGGTCTGAATGGAGAACCTTCAATAATCAAGGTAATTTTTTGTTTTTCTTGTTTAATTTTCTATAGAACCTCGACTCTCTGAAGAAACCAAGTGATCCCAATCCAACAACTTTCAAGACGGAAGTTGACATAAAATAATGAAAATTTCAAGGATATAGTTACAAATGGGGTTTTGGGGTTTTGGGGTTTTGGGGTTTTGGGGGTTTTGGGG